CAAACAATTTAAGGAGAAGTAAAACGTTGTCTAAAAAAACTACTCCAGTAAAGTATAGATAGCCAAAATATCTACTTAAGTAATGTAAGGAAGTATTTGTACTCTGTTACTTGACACCTCTGACGACACCCTACATGTTGAAGAAAGGATCTAAAGCAGGATTAAAGCTGTATGTAGAAGAGTGGATGTGCAGCCCATCTGTTTTTGAGGGAATCTTTTAATAGATAGAAGGCAGGTTGTAGCATTGCTAAAGGTTTATTTGTCTCCAGCAGAGTGTCTGATTGTTCGGGATTCTAGGTGTTGATTGAGTATAATAGAGAGACAGCCTGGGAATATTCTATAAGCTCATTTTGCTATTAAATCTGTGTGGCAGTGATCTGAAGGATATAGCCTGAACAGCTTCTGACCAGGATGTGTGGGGTCTGTAGAAATGTTTGTTTCCTGCTGTTTTTTTTTATTTTTTTTACCTAGACTTATACAAGTCATAGATGGAGGGAGAGTCAGCTCCAATGATCCTCTCTGGAAATATAGGCTGCAATTAGAAAGGACTCTTTAGCCAAAGCAGATATATGTCAGCATTAGCCATGATAAATACTGTCTGATAAGGAAGTGAGTGAGGGAAAGGAGCTATGAGGAATCCCACAATCCTTTGCATGAAGCAACATATAAGTAAAGCCCACCGAAATGAACAAAAATACATAATGCTTCACAGGTACTCTGTGTATCACGTGAAAATCTTCACACCTCTCACAGAGGTGCAGTGGGTAGCACTGCTGGCTTACAGCAAGAAGGTTCCGAGTTCGATTCCCGGCCCGGGGTCTTTCTGCATGGGGTTTGCATGTTCTCCCTTTGCATGAGCGGGTTCTTTCCTGGTACTCTGGCTTCCTCCCACAGTCCAAAAACATGACTGTTAGTTTAATTGGCTTCTCTAAATTATCCTTAGGTGTGAGTGTGTGAATGGTTGTTTGTCCTGTTTGTCTCTGTGTTGCCCTTTGATGGAATGGCGACCCGTCCAGGGTGTACCTTGCCTCAGACAAACAGGACAAACAACCATTCACACACTCACACCTAAGGACAATTTAGAGAAGCCAATTAACCTAACAGTCATGTTTTTGGACTGTGGGAGGAAGCCGGGGTACCCGGAGAGAACCCACGCAGGCTCAGGGAGAACATGCAGAAAGACCCTGGGCAAGGGAATCGAACCCAGAAAACTTCTTGCTGCAAGGCAGCAGTGCTACCCACTGCGCCTCTGAGCACTTTTCTCCCATATGTAGCAGCAGAATTCTGACTATTTTCTAACAGTTCTTTTTTTCACAGAAAAGTCGAAATTCCAATATTTAAGTCAGAATTCTGACTTTTTTCCGATAATAAGCTCAAATAAAATTTACTTTAACTAAATAAAACACAAAAAAAATAAAAAAATAAAATGTTTCCATGTCTCTAATCCTCTTCCGTATATATTTGCTATGTTTGTGCAAAATGTGTCTTTTTTTATAGTTCTTTTTATAAAAGGCAATTTATTTAAAACTAACGACTACTTTATACAGTGTAATGAAAATAAGGTTCAATTCTATTCTATTCTAAAAGCTAAAGGCTGTCCAGATCCAGCACAGATGCCCAGATTTCCTTTCCTACCCATGATCTTGTCCTTATTGGTGACCTGATGAAAGGAGAAGGAAGAGCGGCTAAGAGCAACATTTTGATTATTTTAGATGCAGCACTCGTTCTTCGTTGTAGCTTGGTCTGCTCCTGTTTTATAAATAAGTACTTCCTGTGTCGATCTACACCAAGCAACTCTGTTAAGCGTTAATTTGAAAATAAACGATTAGCAGAGTTTCTTCCAGAATGGCAACCTATCTGTGAAGTCATTTCTCTTAAAAGCTAACAACAACATCAGTGGTCTAAGGAGTTGGGGCATAGCATTGACAACTTTGTCCTCTAACTAGAGGGGTGACAATTCCAATCCCAGCCAAGTCGTTGTGCCCCTTGTGCAAGACACCTCACTGGTAGTGGTGAAGTGTTGATGTTGATTGTGTTCAAAGGGCCTGGCAGCACCTGTATACAGCAGCCTTGTTTCTGTCAGCGTGCCCCAGGCCAGCTGGGGCTATGATGTATCAGACATCATAGGATTAATTACCGCTATTATGCTGATGATACTCAACTATATTTGTCCATAAATTCTAATGAATGAATGTTAATACTAGAGTGTGGCGTTTCCCTTTTGACACTATTTAATTCAATTCAAAAATGCTTCATTAATCCTTAAAGGAAATTAAATGTTGCAGCAACTCATAAGTTATTTTTTAAACAGATGTTGTAGGTGTTGATACCTGTAGGAAGGAAGGATATTCTAGCACCAGATCTGGAGAAGCCTCTTAGATAATTCACTATTGTTAGATCAATTCAATGCTGATAAACGTTGCAATGAATATTAAGATTGTTGTTCCAACTCTCTTACACAGTTAAACACTTTCATAAGTGCAATGTAATTCAATCTAGTGTTAACCAATATACACATTTTAAAAGTGCGGACTCTGACTCCCTGGGAGTTTAAGTTCAAAATGTAAAATAATTGGATAGTTAAACGTCAACTGAATTTCTCTGGTCTGAAGAGACCCTCTTTAACACACAAATAAACAAATTTAAGTAATTTGAAGAGGAAAATTTTAAGATATAAAAAAGTAATAAATGTCATAATTTTAACCAGTTTTATGATTGAAAAGTTAGTGCTTTCTACAGAATAAAGCTTATTGGGACAGTAGGTGTGTGTTTTGGCAGTGGACCATGCATGGCTTCTTCACGGGGCTGCATTCATGCAAAAATCTCTAGTGAGAGTCAGGACAGAGATGTACCACTTAATCTGGGACCACTATTGGGCTCAGCCTTATCTTCACTATGATGGATGATAGCAGCTCTTCTGTATCAAACTGCTCCCCGAAAGAATGTATAACCTCATACATAATTGATATGCATTCTACATATGTTCACCACATGTAAAAAAAAAAAAAAAAGTGTTACATTAAAGCTATTTTCCTGTACCCAGATATGTCACAACCAATAATCAAGCACAATTAAAAGGCTTCAGTGAACCATTCATTTAAATCAGGTGAGCAGCAGCAGAAAAGCATGAAAACCCTGCAGCTCTCAACTTGGGACTTCATCTTTATTTCTGGCTGTCAAGAAAAACTTACAATAATATCAAACAAAATACATCAAAACCCTTTCAGTTACATGTTTAAAAAATTTCTGTGAACAGAAAGATTTTTTTTTTTTGTCCCGGAGAAAATTCTTACATCTGTATCTTAAGCATGCCCCTGAAAAATCTGTGTTTGAAGCCTTAGATAGCACCAACACAAATGACACAAAAAGGGAGTAAAAAGTGAGGAGAAAATAGGGGAAGGGGATTCAAACCAAGGCTATTATTGGAGCTACAAAAGGCCACTTTAACCCAATGTGTTTCAAAATCTCCAGATCCTAAATCCTGTTTGTGCTCCCAGTCCAACCGATAAAACCAAAACAACTTTATATTCAGCATAAATCATTCCGACTATGTAGACATCGATCCTTAGGTATCTGTTTGTAGTATAAAGTATAACAGAAACATTTAATTCTTGCATCTGTGAGGAACGGGAAGCCCTAAGCGGAGCACAAACAGCATGGAACAGATGAATCAGTGATTTCTAAAACACTTGATGGCTCTAGGCAACTGTTTTTAAAAGTCTCAGAAAAATCCAGGCAGAGAATCCATTTTCTCTGCTTTCCTTACAAAAAACAAACAGAAATCTGGAGTTTTCTTCAGCGTTTCAGTGACAACCTTTTGGTGGTCGATAAGAGGATACAGATTACAGACGTGAGGGTTCATCAATAAATTAATCCAAAAACAGCCGAAGCTTAACGAAACAAGACAAAACATGAGTTCAATGATATTCAGCAACACAAACAAAGGATTTCATCACAGACATCTGCAGAATTAACCTTTTTTTCCCATTAAGAGATTCAGTCGGTCAACCTATTTCGTTTAGAGATGAACTGCTGCACACTGATCGTGCAACTTATTTAGTCAGTTTTAAGTGCCATGAGGGAAATTCCTGGAGGAAAGTAGGAAAAACACACTTTTTTTTTATTTAATGTAAAACAATTACTTTTAATTGACAAAAAGGTATCCTACACAAAAAAATGCATCCATTTTTGTCATTATCTTAATCTTTAACACAACTGTTTAATGTTAGCAGGGTAGAACATAAAACAATTGTGTTAAAGTAACTAAATATTATTAAGTAAATGAAAAAGCGGTTGAATTAATTTTTTCAGTGGCATGAAAAATATACATAATATTTTAGTATTTAAGAGGATTTATAATTACATGCTTCTAAGGATTATATCTTAATCTGTCATGCAAGTCAGTGTAAAGATTACACTTCCATCTAGATTATTAAATCAGTTATATGTTTTTGTATAGTCCACATTTGGCAGCAGGCATTATTATATTGTCTTCATGAACAAAACAATATGATTTAAGCACAGAGAAAATCATTTCATAATAAATGATACCAATTTATTTTAACCAGTGTAGACATTCGCCCTTTGTATGGTTTTGATTTCAGATATCAATGTGCTGAGTGGTGGAAAAAAGTGAGTAGTTTGCAGAAAAACACATAAGTGACTTTTATCTGAATCTCAACATTTATCATTTAATTCAACTTTTCAAGAGATAATATAGTAAAAAGTTTGACAGCTGAGTCGCTTCTGCAACAGCTGTTTGCAAGGCTCATAAAAAGCTGCATGCATAAAGCTCCAACCTTAACGCGCAGGAAGGCGCGGATCGGTGCGCAGCTGCAGCGCACCACCAGCAGGACGCAGCAAGGAAAGGTGGGAGATCTGAGCATCCCGGTCTCAGATCCCAGCAAAACTAACATCACAGCATCTCTGCTGCAGAACAAAGTTCTGTCCTGAAACCCATAATCACTCTCTAACAGAGCCAGAGCGTTTGAGATACTTACTGAGAAGCAGAGCAACAGGAAAGAAGATGAGGCAGGCGGAGTTCAGCAGAGACGCCATGCCGAGCCGAAAGTTCCTCCTCTGGACTCACAAGTTTCAGCTTGGATCCAGAAGTCCAGACTGAATCTGTTCCGATAGAGGAAGGAGAGGAAGGGGAGGAGGAGGAGCTGGTTACAGTGTTCTCCTCCTGCAGCAGCAGCACCGCTGTTCTCCGCTCTGAGAGCATCCACTGCTGCTGAGCATCACTGAGAGGAGGAGGAGGAGGAGGAGGAGGAGGAGGAGGAGGAGGCTTTTCTGCGGTTCTTTGAACTTTGGTTTTTCCTTCCAACAAACCCATAGGCCATGTCAGAGAAAAGCAGGCAGAGCTGATCCAAGGCAAAAGCAAACTAAGCTGCTTCCTCAAACCACCAGCTGGGCTCCCATACATTATAAAGATTTCATATTTTCCTAAATTTAAGTTGCTAAAAATGTCAGTTTTATTAAAATGAAAAGAATGATCTCCATGGTTTGATGTGCAGAGGCGTAGAATGTTTTTATCAGGGTGGCCAGGCAATAACCAATGTACACTGAGGGGTGCCAGAAAGTGGATAGGCACCAAAACTGCAGGGTCAAACTACTACTAATGAGCACGTCCATATTTTCTAAATAAAGACAAACTATTTCTTTCCTACCATCCATGCTTTCTAGGTAAAAGGTCTCCAAAGGACTGGATAAAAATCTTTCAGGTCATTTCTTACCTACTTTTTTATTTTCTTTAGTGCAACTGTTTTTGACATTCTAATTTGTTTCTGCATTTTTTATTTTATTATATATATTTCTTATTTTTCCCTACTTGCTTTGATTCTGTCTTATTTTCCTGTATTTCAATCTTTTTTTTTTTTTTTTTTTTGACAGGGACAGTACATTAAACATTGCAACCAAACAGGAGGCTGATGTCCAAGTACATAAGGCTTGTAGCCATGGGCTAATTTGCCGCCTTCGTCCCTGGTTAGGCTTTTAAAAGGTGTTAGCATTAAGTGGGAGGGAGGTTAGTACTGACACACAGATGCATAAAAAAAACAAAACAAGAGAAGTTAAACCAAAAAAACAAAACAAAAAAAATGTACAGTACAAGCCAGTTTAGTGCTCACACTCTTGATTGTCTTTGAGACATTTTTTCAACCTTGTGGAGAAAAGTCGAATATCAGTCTGTGACTTAAGCTCCAGAGGCAAAGAGTTCCAGAGATGTGATGCTTTCACATCTCTGGAACTCGGCGGAGAAGGCGGACTGACCCATAGATGTCCGACATCTTTTAATCCTGCAGTTCCC